ATTTGGCATGAACTTTTCGACATCTACAAGCTGCACTTTGCAACCGAGCTCCCATTTCTACATCTTCCTACGTTGAAGAGCATCATACACGACAAGGAGATTAAGAAACCGTCTGCGGATGTCAACTTGGTGCTCCTAGGTATCTTGGCCCTTACAGCTAGATTCCAACCCGAGTTGGTCAAGTACGTCGCACACCAGACATACGACAAAGTTGCAGGCCCAAAATCTCGAGGTGCTCTTCCTCGCGCAGATCCTTCAGCAGCGTCGGAATACTTCGCAAATGCTCTCACGGCAGCTCTGGGACCACTTGAATCAGCCCTAACGTCGGCGTCCGTCGTACGGGTTCAAGCCTTCTTGATGCTGGGTTTATACAAATGGAGCCAACCCAGTGGCGGCTTGGCCGCGTGGATGTACGTCGGCGTGGCTATTCGTATGGCTCAGGGCTTAAAGCTAGGATTTGGTGACAAGCCTCTTCGTGGAAGGAGAGCTTTGGGTTTGTCGCGGTCACATAAGTCGGCGCAGTTGCCGTCCGAGTCGTGGAAAGACCAGGAGATACGACGACGCACCATGTTCAGTTGTCTCATCCTCGACCGGTTACTATCATGTGGATCCCAGCGAGTTTCCATGGTTCGATCCGACGACTTGCAGATCCAACTGCCGTGTACCGAACACGCGTTCGATCTGGGCCGGGCCGTCTACACCGGCTTCCTCCGACAGGTGGGACAAGAGATGGAGCGCCCTATCGACGACAGCGTTCTCAGCCGCTTTGTGCAACTCGCCGACTTTTGGGGAGACATTACCAAGTACAGCTTTGCTGGTGGCCGCCACACGGAAGCGTATCCCCCTTGGAATAAGGACTCAACTTTTTATCAGCTCAATACCAAGGTAGAGGCCTTTTATGCTCATCTGCCGGAAGAGTTCACCTGGTCTAGTTCAAATTTTTGGAAACATGATAACAGCATGTATGTGTCCTTGCACATGCTTGGAGCCCTCTGCCGGATCATGCTACATCGAGAGTACATCCCCTTCATCGCTATCAAATGCGAGAAGCCAATCGGGCCTCTAGACGAGCCAGTCTTCGATCCCGCCATCGTTCCGGACGACTTTTGGTATCGAAGTGCGGAGCAGGTTTTCAAAGCTGCGCGGGAGATCATTGACTTGATCAGGACATGCCGCGACAAGCTACCTCAATCGTCTCTTGTCATTTTCGCCATTTGGCAGGCGGCGTTTGTGGGAATTTACGCGCGCCACTATCCTCAGCTGGACAGCGAAAAGCACATGGTCAGCGATGAAGAGATCCAGGAACGAGCTTCAGGAGCGGTACCCGACCTCACGAAAACAGGAAACGCCGGGATCGCCTACACCGCACTGCAGAGGGTCGCTCCATATTTCAGCATGGCTTCAAATTACGTGACGTACTTCAAGGACATGGATCAATACTTCACGAAGGTTTTTGTGGATTATACCCAGCGAAACGGTAGAAGGAGCGGCGATGGAACACTGAGCATTCGGTTGGGCTCGGGAGGCGGTGGGCTTGAGGAGTGGAGGGTCAAGGCCGATAGGATTACAAGCAATGGTATCATCATGGATGAAGATCGATCTCTCGGGTACGACGCCTCGGATGGCTCCCGAGCAAGCACTCTGGAACGCAGCTCTTCAATGGGACCCGAGTACTCCCACCTGAGTGCCAGCGGCGGCTTGGAAAGCAGGCGAGACTCGCGACAGGCAGCCTCCTCGTTTACGGCGATTAACAGTGCTCAATATCCCGTCGGGCAGGAGGGCTACCCAGGTGGCAATATGCCGCAGCATTCGCCGACGCAGACATTCGCAACAGCACCCGGGCCCCTGAGCAATGAGGCTGCCATGAACGCAGGCGCCGGCGGCGCGGATGTCGCCAACATCGAGTCATATGTCAACCAGCACCAGGGTCAGCGTTTTGGAATCGCCCTCGAGGATCTTGAAGAGTTTACTGGGCAGATGGCTGCCGACCAAAATATCGGGGAGTGGGGACCGGCGTTTTTCTCACAGGTGGCTGGAGGCAATCCCCTGCCTCAATTCAGTGAGAGCTATACCTGAGGGCGTTTGGTAATTGAAGAAGCAGGTCATTCTCAGGGGGTGGAAGGAGTCAGCAATGGATCATCAGCTGTGACGTTTGGGCGGTTACTCATGTTACCATGATTGCTTTTTGTTTCCTTTTTTCTTCATCGGGTACGAAGCTACGACCGACTCCCTGTTTGTTATTTACACCCGGGAAGGCTTTCTCTGGGAAGCCATTGGCCTGGCGTCTAATTCTGCATGAGACCGCAGAAGGGGGGGTTCTTCCCCTCCTGGGAGATCCAGCCAGGTCTCTTGGCCATTGACCGTTCGACGACCGATCTCGGAAATCTCACGTCCTTTGAGGTCTTGGAAAAAATTGATCTTACAATCTCCAGACATACTATCCATTTTGTCCATGCGCCATGACTTGAAGTCACAATGCTGTCATTGCCCCCATGCGGTTCGCCAGTTGCTGGTTACACAAGGCTAGACGAGGAATTGGACATCACACAGTCCCCATGTGCTACAACGGCAAGGCCCGCGTGAGGTCCGCGTGCGCGCGAGTGCGTGTTGCCTCAGTCTGCCACGGGCGAAAACTGTAATGGAATGCGCAGTCTCATTCGAAAAAATGGCCGTGGGAATGCGTTTTCCAGTTACCTGGTACGCGTCTGGATCATGGGGAGGTAAGGGAGCATCCGTCCGTCTCTCGGGGGAGACCGGGAGAGATTTTGTCCACGCTCGCTCGTCGGCCGTCAGCCACCCCGGACAATGTGGAATGTAGGGTGTGTGAGTGTGCGGACGTGTGTGTCAATGTCTCGGGGGGACTTCCGAGACCTTAATAGGGGCGGCTCTCCATTGGGCCAAGTCTGCGATGCTAATTTTTATTTCCCGATTTGTTCAGAAAGGGCAATTACTCTTCAAATACTGAACGATCAACTGTATATCAAGCCTATTGCGTGATTCTCGGGCATTCTAGTTTACATCGGACTCGAGGGAGTGCCTCGGCCGGACGTAGGATCAAGGCAGCGACGTGTGGGATGCCCAGAAGTAAGGGAGGAAAGTCCATGTCGGCTGGAGGGAGAAAAGAAAACAATGCGAAAAATAGAGTTTAGTAAAAAGAAACGAGGAGAAATGACAAGAACGCCTTGTGGCGTTTTGAAAAAGGGCAGCGGGCAAACTTGCGTAACTTGGGGCGTCAGAACTGAATTCCTGGGGCTGAGAGGAGAGAACGGCTGCGAGTGGTATGAGCGTTTACCCGATCTAGATGCTCGAAAAAAAAAAGTATGGATGGCACCCTGGCAGAGCTGACTTGGGCGAGCTTGTTAGCTCAGTCGTTGAGCCAGCCACTCTGACGTTTGCTCAAGATGGGCTGTTCAGAGTTTGATTGGGGAGAACGTTTCAATTCATACACGGAGTGCATGTTTTGGTTTGGTGTCGTCCAGAGCAGTGTGGTTACTACTGGGTCTGGGAGTATATGTTGAGTAGTTGAAAGTATCCATGGATCCTATCCTGTCTGAGCCGATTGGATCCTCGTGGTGCGGTCGCTGCCGCTGCCCAAAGACGAAAATTTGCCGCTTTCCAGCTTCTAAAGTCAGTCTTTAACTTTAACCTACGGTTCGAGTCCGTAATATTAAGACCATAGAAAGACTGAGGTTGGCATGGCAGGGCCAGTTCAACGGTGCGCGTGGCTGGTAAGCTTTCCAAGTCCTTCCCCCTCCAGTTGGTTGTGATCACTAGGAACCTTGGTTGTACAGACTTAGACTTGTCTTGCTGCGTTGAATTGGTTTACTGACTTCTGATTAGACAAAAGTCCCACCTTGTGTATTTTTCACCATCGGTAGAGTTCAACTGACACTCCTTGCCGTTTCTCGAACTCTGAGTTGTCTTATTTTTGAGCCTGCGAAGCCTTCGTCTGAAGTCGAGAGGTATGATGGGGTGAACAGAGTGCTTTATGGATGTCATACCGGTCCAGTTCGCCTTGTCTACCTGAACCTTTGGTTGTGACTTGGCTGGCTGGGCCAATCGGTTTTCTGTCTGCTGAGCTGTAGGATTGAGGCGTACCTTGAGTTAGGGCCTTTACGCAAGCCATCGGATCGTTGGGGTGTTGATAGATGTGTTGTTTCTCTTATCTTTTAACCGAGATTCTTGTGGCACAGGCTACGCTTCGTTACGACCGTTCTCCTCGTCTTTCGTTTGGGCCTCAAGACGGTTATTGTGTCTTCAGTAACTTATTTCGATGAGGATGGCACTCTCTAACATCGCAGCAGTTCTCGCCACTGCTACGTCTGCCACTTTTTCGCTCCAAGAGCTTGATGTCAGGCACAACCATCAAAGTCTCAGGGCCTCCAACAGTTCGCAGGAGGATGCCACTCTCGCTACGTGAACACAGCTAATCGGCCATGCCGACCCCACGAAGGGTTGTTTTGAACAGCGGTACTGGCACAATGCAAAATTTTGGGGCGGCCCGGGGTATCCCATCTTCATGGTGAACGTCGGTGAGGCAGATGCAGAGGAATATGCTGGATGGCACTTGACCAAGCAAAGTCTCGCGTACTTGTACGCTGAAAAGTTTCAAGGGGCGGTCGTCCTTTTCGAACGTTGGTGTGTTCCACTAGGTGCTGGTTTATGCTTAGTGAAGCGTCTGTCCTGATAACCAGCCGTGCAGATCGGTATTATGGAAAGTCCCAGCCCTTTAAGACGATAACTGCAGAGACCTGCAGTACCACGCCGTTCCTCAATCGCTTCAAGACAACAAGCGCTTTGCCGAAGTTCGGTTTCGACAACTGCGGGGGTGCCAACGTTGACAAGTCTCCTTGTGTGTTGATCGGCGGGAGCTACGCGGGCGCCCTCGCGGCAAGGCAATCTGTGATCACGCCAGGGGTGCTTGCTGCCCACCATGCTTCTTTGCCGTCATCCACGTCATCGAAGATTTTTGGCAGTTTTGGGCTCCCATCAAGCAGGTCATGCCACGGAACTGCTCTGAGAGTGTGAAGCTAGTCATCAAAAAAGTTGACTCCATTCTGTCAAAGGCTGACAGGCAGGAGATCGCTGAGATGAAGGAGTTTGGCGTGTCATTGCTCAATGATGTTGATTTCGCAAGCACGCTGACAAAGATACCGCCAGACAGCTTCTCTTACGTCTCGGAATTCTGCAATCATATGGAGAAGACCGTCAATAACGGGACGCTCAACAAGGGTCTAAATGAGGCTGATGTTGTCCTAGATGTTGCGTGGAATATGTTCGCGAATTTGATATAGCGCTACTGGAAAGACTTCTGCACCGATACTCCATGCGACTGGGAGCACGAGAAGGAAATTGAATTTCCGTCGAGCCCGACAAATCTCGGGACCTCTCGTAGTTGGGCATGGCAGCTATGTAACGAGTTTGGTTGGTGGCACATCGGCCCGCCTCAGTCTGATGGCAACAACATCGTCTCTTCGCATCTTACGTCGGAGCGTTATAAGCGCCATTGCGACGACTGCTTCCTGGAGGTCAACGGCTTCAGACCAGCCATGTCCCGAGGCACCACTGCAGACGATTTCAACAAATGGACAAAAGGAGGTTGGGATGCGCCGTTCGAGAAGGTCATGTTCGTCGATGGCGAATTCGATATGTGGAACTCGGCCACGATGAGCTCAGTTTACCGGCCCGGCAGCCCTTGGAACGGTACGGAGGAGGTGCCTCGAATGGTGGTTGCACGCGGAGGCCACATTCCGGACCTAGACCTTATCCATATGAATGAGGACGTGGTCGAGGCATTGGCGGTTGTAACGAAGAAGCAGTTGAAGATTATGGAGAAATGGCTCAGTGAGTGGAAGCCCGAGCATTTATAGACCGGGGCTGGGTTTGTCTGCACACATTAGAACATGGTTCAACAAGTAAGACAGATAGACGCAGGCAAACCTCCGAGATGTTCCCACTACACAACTGCTGTTGATTTCTGCCGAAGGGCTTGCGGCACATTTGGGATTCGTCGAGCCTACGCTGCTCTCATGGTAGTGAAGGGCTATGCTTTCGCCGTTGAAAGATGGATTTCCTCTTCTCTTGGGAGGCTGATGTGGTCGGTTTTATGTTACGCCAATATTGTAAATCCGAGGGGAAGATGTAGGGCCAGGGTCTCATCCTGCAGAGCGGAAGCCTGAGGGAAGTGCGAACGTCGGTTGTTGCCCCCTCCTTCCTTCCTTCCTTCCTTCTGACCATTGCGCCCCGCTCAATGTGTCCTTCCCTTCCGTTCTTGTACCCTGTTGTCACTTTTTGCCAGACAAATGTTGTTTGTCAACTTCATCACTGCCATGCTAATCCTTCTCCGGCTCGGATGCAAATCGACGACGTCGACCTCCACCATCTCCACCGTTGATTATCAACAATATCGGAACTTTATGTGCTGCAAACCGTCGACGAGTCACTCCCGCAATCCTAGCTTGGTTCTAGCTGGACGGGCCGACCGAAAGTTCGTCATCTCGGCTGGTCGCGAGAACGAGAACGAGACACAGAGAAGAAAATGTCATGAGGATGATTTTCCAGCCTCAAAAGCCCCAGATATGGCAGGAGATGTCTTATCTATCTCCGCCCGGCTCCGATCACAGACCACAGGCTACGGAGACCCTGCAGCATTTCAACCGGCCGGATGATCTCCAGAGACAACTGATAAGCTTATCAGGCGCGGGAGGGGACATCGAGCTCGCCTCCACGCTTGGGATGGATGGCCGCTCCCAACGCGACGGAAACCATCCCGTCTGTGGCCTCATGCAAGGAACAAGTGATTGATCTGGTCGCCCGAACTGGAGATGGGAGATTGCCCTGCGCCGAAATTTGGCTGTCACGCGAGCATCAACGTCGGTGTCTGCCAACCGCGTCACCTCAAGACCTGACCGAGCTTCACCGAAAACACCGGCCCCACGCAGTCATTCTCCCGTCAGAATGACAGCCACCAACCGGGTCTTCCGTCCGGCTTCACCGTCTCAGCCAGGGCGCGGCCACCTTGCTTCTTCCTTCCTCTCATCATACGGCCACTAGCGGCACAGCACAAAGCCACCTGCCGAAAGCTGACAAAGGACCGCTCGGAGATGCTCAATCGTTGCAAAGCCGACTTTCTCAGACCACGCGCACCCGCAAAGGTCCATCCAGTCCAGCAAATCGTCGGAAAGTACGGCAATGCAAAAAATCCTCCGTGGCATGTTTCGACCACAAAAGTATGGCAGGGTTCAAGACGACGAAAAAAGAAGCTGCAAGGCAACAACCACCACCTGGTGCGAGAACTTCCCCGCACCCGACATTGTCACGCATAAATCGCGCTTTGCTGGACCTGCTGCTGCTGCTGCCGCCGCCGCTCGACGCCCTGACTGCCGCCCTACAGTCTCGTCATGACTATCCCGTGTAACGGGTCTTTTTACCGATCGACACGACCTGTGGTAACTCAATTGGGACGGTGCCTGGATTTACCCCGCCCCGGCTTTGGAATCTGTGTCCATTGCCCAGAGGCTGTGCCACAAGTGCCACGGGTACTGGAACTTGGACACCTTTTTTTCCTTCTTCTCCAGCAGTGTGCTCTGATGCCGGGGCAGAGAAGCATGACGTCGATATCCTCTCACCCACACGCACAAGGACCCGTCATGTCGGAAGGATTGGTCATCTGGGTGGGCTGAGGTTTCCCACGACACGTCGTTGAAATGTCGGGAACTTCTCGGAGCCCCTCCTTATTGCTGGGCCTCACCCCCGCAAGCTTCAGGGAGACATGCAGCTAATTTGGGCCGGGGTTGCACGCTGTTGGCCGATCTGGAAGCACAGACCAGCCAAAAGTACTGCTGCGACACTATTCACACCCTCAATCATAGGCGAGCTGACCGGTTGATGGAGCTCTCCAAGAGGAGCTGCGTGGGAGCTATGAGCAGCTGATGGCGCGGCATCTTAGCTGGGAAACCAGCCTAACTCTGCACTGCACAGTCTGCAGTCAGCTTTCCTAACGCCCGCCCTGTGAGCTGCGTTGACCGAACACGACGAAAACTCTGACCTGGAAGAAGATTCGACGAGCCTCAACCCGCCAAACACGGAACCTAGCGCATCGAGACGGTCTGAACGCCACACCTCCCTATGTCCTCTCGAGATGGAAAACTCTGAAAACTTTCGTTGAATCCCATTGTTTTGCTGGTCCGGGTTCTGGTTTTATTCAATTTCAGTTATCCTGGCAACCTGACACACCTGGCTCCAGTCAACTACGAGCCTTGCAAGGATCATGCACACCCTTCCCTCTAGCCACTTAAACCTTGGACCAACACGATGCTCAAAGACCTTTAATGAAAATGCCATTTTCCCGCTCAAAAGGGCGTGGTGACAGCCGTTTCCAACATTCCAGGTACATGACAGCCATGTCGAATCCGGTGATCCGCGTCGAGCTCCAGCAGTCTTAGTGTGGCCGCCCCATGGTGGGGCGTGGGATACGCCTCAGATGACGTCCGCTGATTTGTTCGACTGCGAACTTCTCCCACTCTCTGTCCGGGATGAGGCTGTCACACTCCTCTCTCTATCTGCACGTTATGACAAAAGAGAATTGTATCGTTTGGTACAAGCACACGGAACCGGGTTACCTCGAGTGTACTTCCGAACACAGCTCTCGCCCGGTGTTTGTTTCACTCAACCCGATCTCAGCTGCCCCGTACCCTCGTCGTACACCTGCTCCATCTGGTCGCCAATATCCCCGAAATGCATCTCTGCTCCATCAACTCGCTACACTGTAGACCAGAATGGCAGGCCCAAGAGGCCTACGGTCCGCCGAGTCACCACTTCCATGTCCGCATCCACAAAGAGCACCTGGTACACGTCTCGGACCTACCCTATTGCTAGCATGGCAACACCAACGTGTATCTCCGTCCGCTTGCCGGCGCCTCCGCCGGCCTGGGAGACCCAGGTACCTTTGTCGTGGAGGCTATAAGCTCTAGGTACCCGTCCGTTCTTCTCGTCCCAAGCCCGTACTGCTTTGCACATGCTACCTTCAACGTCCTTCATATAACATCTACCTTTGTTCCGCTCTGTTGTACCTGGTCTGGATTCAAACTCTCAGCGCTTGGCTTTTCACACACTGAATTCCTGTCACGATGGGTTCAATCGCTGTCTCTCAGGACAGCCTCCCGTACGCTGGCCCCAAGGCGGCTAAGCAGAAGGCAGTTAAGTCAGTCGGCAAGCATGGCGTTGACATCATTGATGTTCGACGAGTTGCGGTTGAAACAAACTTGAAAGACGACATCCTCTCCATGTGGAACCCCACAAACGGACCCCGGAGGCTCCCAACCTTGCTGCTCTACAACGAACGGGGCCTGCAGTTGTTCGAGGATGTACGTGCTTTTAGACCACTCATCGGCTCAGCCACGTCTTGCGTGATCGGCACTAACAATTCATACAGATCACATATCTCGAAGAATATTACCTCACCAATAATGAGATTGAAGTTCTGAACCGTTCCTCGAGAGAGATTGCGCAGAACATATCGCCGGAGTCTATGGTCATTGAGTTGGGGAGTGGGTCTGTGGTTCCCTTGCTGAATGGTGACTCTGGGATGATTCTGACCAAAATTCAAGCAATCTTCGCAAAATTGGGATTCTGTTGCAGGCTTTCGAGGATGCCGGGAAGAAGATCGACTATTACGCCCTGGACCTCTCACGCGAAGAGTTGGAGCGCACCTTGGCGCAATTGCCTGAGTTTCGACACGTTCAATGCCACGGACTGCTGGGTACCTACGATGATGGTCGAGAGTGGTTGAAAAAGCCCTTCAACTTGGCCCGCCCCAAGTGCATTGTGAGCCTTGGATCTAGTATCGGTGGGCACTCCTCAAAGGAGCTGTTAGGCTTCGACTCACACTGACATTGGCTTTCAGGCAACTTTGAACGCTACGACGCAGCTGGATTTCTGAAGCATTTCAGCGATGTCCTCGCGCCGTCAGACAAGATGCTTATTGGTTTGGACAGATGCGGCGATCCAGCGAAGGTCTAGTATGTTTTCAGTGTTCCTTCACTAACACAATACCAAAAGCTAACGTTTTACAGTCACGCCTACAATGGTATTTGCTCCTGATCATGTGGTAGGATATTGCTGACATTTGCAACCAAAGACAAACATGGGATCACTCACGAGTAGGTTACAAGCTAAAGCCAGTTATAAGCTTTTATCTAATAAATCTCAGGTTCATCCTCAATGGACTTACCAATGCGAACGAGATTCTCGGCCAAGAAGCTTTCAAGCTCAAAGATTGGGAGGTCATTGGAGA